CTATTCGAAGCGTTATATATATATATATAATATTTCAACTTCATCTCATCATTGCAATTCCCATGCAAAGCAATTCAATTTCTTATAGTTAAAGTGTTGAGTAGTTCAAGTACCAATTTTTAAAGATAGAACTTAATTTCCTACTCTTTAATTTTAAATCGATTCACATCGGGTCGAGAAGGGTTTCTTGGTTTTACTGATTCAACTCCCAAAATTGATTCAATTTTCATTATTATAATCCTATCCATTTTCTTCATTTTGTTGCAAAATAATTGTTAATATATTGTGGTGAAAATGCATTTAAATTCGATTGTAGTATAAGATAATATTCTTAAGTTTGAGTACATAAATGAGGACAAACAATATGATATTGGCATGTGAAAAGATGAAGCAAACTTTGCTTATTTCAATACTTTGAAAGCAACAAAAATACAAAAAAAGAGGAAGTGAAACATAGACAATAATCATCAAATGTAGAAGCTCAAGAAGAAAATGAGTTGAATTTATAGGAAATTAGCATGTAAATAGGAACATAAAATTTTCCACTTTGGATTCTACATTATTGGTGTTTTTTTTTTCTTTAAAAACAAAATATTCATAGCTTGTTAAATAAGATGACATGTCTTGCATGCTTTTCCCCACCCTAACTTTGGCCAAAGGTGCTTCCCTTGCCTCCAAAATAATGCCCACATTTTAGGTCCTATTTTCAATCTACCTCATAAATTCCACACCACAACCCCATTTATTGGACTATTTTATATAATAATTAAAAAAAAATCCCTGCTTAGCATGTCCTATTGTAAAATTCCACACTGAGTATTACACATTTCTCTTTACTCTTTTTTTTTTCATAGAGTATTGTAGAAAACCTCATTTAATAAGTAGCTCTATAGGATGTTAACCAATTTCAAAATAAATGGACTTTATCAATACCAACCTTCATTCCCATTTAAATAGAAGTACATTTCTAACTGAAAGCGAAGAAAGTGTCTTTGAGGTACTAAAATGTTGTGAAATTTAGGGCAAAGAAAAATAAAAATCGACACAAATCCAGAAGAACGCAGAGACTTAATGAGGTTCGGTAAAAATGCTTACATCATCGGAAGCAAAGTGACAAATTCACTATTTCAGAGGAGTTACATACCCATAGGGTTACACATCTATTTATAGATAAAATCCACAGATAAATTTACAAACACGTCATCGCTTCCCCCAACCCACTAATCCAAGAGACACACCTCTTCACACCAAGAGACACACCTCTTCATTCCAGGAGACACACCCCTCTAAATCCAAGAGAGTCCAAATTCCTGGTATATGAGCCATACCTAACAATTCTCCACCTTGGCGAATATCCAACCCCTTAGGAGAAAATCTCATGGAGTTTCTTGCACCGAAGTGGGTTAGGCAATCATGCCAACTAGCAACTGCAAACATTCAACAAGTTCAAGTAACGCAAGAACTTGCTGAAAAAACCTGGCTTGGTTAACTTTTCTGCTTCATTTTCATCATATGATCCAACAGAGTCAACTCCACCTATTACTGTACTCCCCAACAATTTATAGATATTACTATCAGGTTTCATAGCTCTCAATCTCTTTAAAATTCCTTGTTATGCCAACAAATCTTTCATCCTTGTTTGCCACAATCCGAAGTTCCCTGTTCCATCGAATTCATTATCTCAAATTTTGCACCAGACATTGTCATTTGAAGTTAATCCTGCAGTGAATTTTTTTTCTCGTATTGAAACAAAACACACCACAAATAAATTCAAATAAACTTGAAATTTCTTCTGTCAATTGAAGCAATTTTCCCGCAGTTTCCTATGATTCGTAAATCAAATTTTTCTCACGAAGCACCTTTCCTGTTCGCACAAAAATTCAGCTGAAATACTGCGGACACCAGCCAAACTCTTCTACTCTACCTGTCACAATTTCTCCTGCGACAAACCTGCGAACAATCTGCGAAGTTCGTGAACTCCACATGTCGCAATTTCTCCTGCGACAAACTTACGAACTCCTCTGACCGAGCACCACCTGTCGCAACTCTACCTGCGACAAACTTGCGAACTCCACTGGCCGAGCACCACCTGTTACAACTGCACATGTCGCATCTGTACCTGAGAAAAACTTGCTGCGACAAACTTGCAAACTCCGCTGACCAAGCACCACTTGTCACAACTACACCTCCCGAAACTCCTGCGACAAACTTGCGAACTCCGCTGGCCGAACACCACCTGTCTCAACTGCACCTGCCACAACTCCTGTGACAAACTTGAGAACTTCGCTGGTCGAGCACCACCTATCGCAACTGCACCTGCCACAACTCTTCCTGCGACAAACTTGTGAACTCCTCTGTCCGAGCACCATCTGTTGCAACTCTATCTGCGACAAACTTGCGAACTCCTCAACCATATCGCAATTCTCGCCTATTCGAAGCGTAACCTTCTCTGTCAGCCCAATGATCTGCCTGTTACTCGATGCTCACAGAACCCTGGGCGAGGCCGAATACGTCCCTGAATGTCGCGATTCGCTGCGTCGCGCGCGAATCCTTTGTTCTCGCAACTCCTGAAATGTCCCGAACTTCCTTCGCGCGAACTTCCTATATCACGATCGTTCTCCGCAATCAAAGGCCTCGTGGATGTTGTCGAGCCTGCAAGCCAACTCCCTTCGCAACCCGTCGCCGATTCCTTCTGCCTCCGACCTGGAGCCGTTCGCCCGAATTCCGAAGCCTGCTAAAAATCCTAGCCGACCTTCATGTGCAAATTTGCTTACTTCCTGCGTCGATCTCCTCCGCCGTAGAACCTAACATTATTCTGATACAAATTATTATGAAATTTAGGGCGAAGAAAAACAAAAATCGACACAAATCCAGAAGAACACAGAGATTTAACGAGGTTCGACAAAGATGCCTACAAAATCGGGAGCAGAGCGGCGAACTCACTATTTCAGAGAAGTTGCATACCCTTAGGGTTACACATCTATTTATATATAAAACTCACAAATAAGTTTACAAACACGCTCTCGCTCTCCCCAGCCCACTAATCCAAGAGACACACATCTTCACACCAAGAGACACACCTCTTCATTACAGGAGACACATCTCTCCAAATCCAATAGATTCCAAATTCCTGATATATGAGTCATACCTAACATAAAATATGTTAATAAATGAGAAAAAAAAAATTTTAATAATCACCTTAGACAATGACTTCTATTAAGATTAAGTACAAAATAGGAATATCCCATTCATATATAACAAAAACAAAGCAAAGAAGGATGACAATTGAAATAATTTTAAAATATATTTTTCCATATATAACTAGGACAAGTGGTGTCCTTTGTCAAACTTCAAATTTCCTGACATACACTCCCATGATGGTATATTAAACAAAAACAATGCAGAAAATTTGACAATTAATTGTATTTTAAAATAAAGTATTCCCTCTATAATTGTGACAGTCAAAGCGGTTTCTTTTGCCTAACTTCAAATTTCCTCAGGTGAGCTCAATGGTGGCATATTAAACCCAAAAAAAACTATTACATATAATGATTGAAATGGTCTAAATTCATAATTTGGTAAGTCTCAATTGTATGAAATTTTCATTAATAGAGGCGAACCTGCATGGAGAGTATAAATAAATTTGATTAAAGAAACTGAGCCAAAATCATAAGCCATGTTTGTAAGATGGTGCTTAATAGTTGCATAAGAAGACGATTGCATTATAGCTACTTATAAAGGAAAAAGGGCTTTATAAAAATATTGCAATGAGAGCTAAAATTATTCTCAATTAGGAGTATCTCATAGTGGAGCTTGAAGGAGGAAACTTTTATGGGAATAAATTAAGCCAGCCATAATATAAACAGATGGAAGTATACTTAAATTGTTAAAGTCTAGTAGTAAGAAACCTATACAAGTGAAGAAGCAAAGAGAAAAAACCAATATAAATAACGTGATATTTTTTTTTATATTATTTTAGAATGTATAAAATAGCTCTCTTTTTTTAGTAATTATTAATTGCATACTGAACAGGCAAAAATAATTTCTCCTGAATCTCTTTCTATCTTTGCATTGCCACAAATCATTTATGCCCGCCTCTCTTTCTCTCTTCTCACTTCTTCAATTTTAAGTGTGAGCTATTAAGTCGTTAATGAGCTTGCATTGATCAGTTTTCTCACTTTTTTTTCTGGCACAAGGAAGGATGTAGAGAATTATTAAGTTTTCAAAGAAACTCAAGCATAATGTTTCGAAGGATTTCTTTAAGATAGAAAGTGATTTTATTTTAGATATTGAAGTTCAAACTTTCCATTATTAATTAAGCTTCAGGAATGCTAATTTGTTTGGCATCTTTTCTCAATTCCATATGCATCTCTTTTTTTCTATTGTCATCTTCTATTTAACTGACTGTCTCTCTCTCTCTCCTCGTGGCTCTTTGTTGCTGGAGAACGAAACAAAAGGCAGGAGGAAGAGGGTCTAGAATGGAAAGCTACCAAGTGAAAAATGATGAAAAAGAAGTCATCATCTTTAGTTCAAGGAAAAAATGGTAGCAAGTTATGAGCAATCTTCATTGAGGTTAAACTCTATATCTTGTTCCCTTAATATTCTTTCCAATTCAATCATCAATATATCACAAACCCCAATATACCATGCAAAACAATACCATCCCCTTTAAATGATTGTGCTTTGCTAGAAGACATTTAGAGTTAATCAAGAAAATAAAAATGTAATTACAAGTACCTTAAGATTAAGAGCATGGAATTAGGCTAACTTGTTTAACCTACACCTTCCTCCATCAAACCCAATGGCTTAAGAGATTTTGAAGGCTTTTTAATGATAACTTGTTTCACATATTACTTAAATTTTTTGTTGTAGATGAATTGAGCTAAGCCGAGTATGTGTTTGTTCGAGTTTTAGTTTATTTATTTTTAAGTTTGTTCGGGCTCAACTAGAGCTAGATTAAAGCTTTTAGAAATGTGTTAGAGCTTGAGTTTGTTTATCAAAACGTTGTTCGAGGTCAGCTCAAGCTCAATTTATATAGTAATTATCGAGTATTTTAACAAGAACTTATTTAAACAAAATAAATGAGCCTATCAAACAAAGTTTGTTGAGCACAAAAAAATAATTAAATAAAACATTTAATTTATACAAGTTATAAAAGAACTTTAATCAAGCTATATTCAAGCAAGCCAAACCTTTATCAATCTGCTTAATGAACTACTAAATGAGCTTTAAATGACACAATTCTTGAACATAAACAAATTGAACAAGTTGTTCAAATTTGTTTATTTAGCAATTAAGCATTTACAAAAATATTCAAGCTTGATCAATTACTTAATTAAATAATTATGAGGGAGCTCTAATCAAGTTGATCTCTATAAGTAAAATGTTCATGAAAACTCAGTACATTTGCAACCTTAAGTCATTATTTTGTAGTAATTAACAACTGAAAGACATGTTAAGTTTGAATTATAGATTATTAAGGTGTTTAAAAAAACAAATTTTTGGTTACAAACATAGATTTTTTAGAAGCATGATTAAATATTAGTATTAAGTCACTTTTTTCCTTAAAATTGAGAATAAACCACTTTATGCTTTATAATAACATATTTTTGTTTATTAATGATACTGATCAAAATTATTTATAAAAATAATATATGACTAATTAATTATCTTTAGCGCTAAATATTAATTGATACTCACACAACTATTTGTCCTAAAATTGTCCTAAAAAGGTATAGTTAAAATTATAAAAAATAATGGCTAAAATTAGGTTTAGTCTCATTTTTAAGGAAAATTGTAATTAATTCTTTATATTTATTCACATTACATTTATAAGAAGGTGAAAAAAATTGCGTACATAAGACGTACGCAACGCTGCATACATCAGAGTATACAGAGGGTACAGAGGAGTTTGAGCTGTGTTATACCCTCTGTAACCTCCCCGTAACCTCCCCGTAACCTACCTGTTACATACATGTAACTTACAAATATATGAAAATAGAACCGCGGAACTTAACAGAAAGTGCATGTAGGTTACATATATGTTACATGGAGGTTACGGAGGATATAACACGCATATAACCCTCATGTACCCTATGTATAACCCTGACGTACGCAGCGCTGCGTACGTCTTAGTACACAAATTTTTTCCATAAGAAAGAATGCTGCAATGTTACTATTGCTGCTATATCATACAAAACATCCCCCTCGAGTCAAATATGAAACATCGGTTGTCTTAACGAATGTAATATTAAGCCCCAACATTTATATTAATTAACTCTATAAGTCATTACATAATCCGCAATTAAGGGCCTAATTTATATTAATTATTCTTGAATGACCAATCTTTAATCTTCACGAACGAAATTAAAAGCAAATGATCCCATTATACTTTAATTTATGCTTAATAATACGCTAATTTTCTATTTTGCTAAGAAAATACACTTGAGTAATTTTAGGCATGTAAATTCAATTAAAAAGACAAAATGCACTAATCATAAACTTAATGTTTAATCATTAATTATTCAAGTGGAGGTTAAATACTGACCTGTGGCAGCACGATCATATTGTTAAATGTATATTTATCTACATAAGAAGAGAATATGATATAATGCCAAAGTTTCTTTAATGAATTAAGCTTCTTGTTTTTTCTTATTTTATTTATTAAAGAAGCCTTGTAAAGTTAAGCATTAGGTTCTAAATATATATATATGGCAATCTATAAATTAGGAAAAAAAGATTAAGTTATAATATGAATTAGAATAAATTTCAAAATTATTAAATTTATTTCGAGATTAATGCAAGGGAAAATAATTAAAATTTGGAAGATTTACATACATATTGTTGAAATCAAATTTGTCTGGGAGACAAACCTATGGAATAGAGCACGAAAGAGAGAAAAAAAGCAGAGAGAGCACAATAATTAACGGTAAAATCGTTTAACTTTTATTCATAAATGAACCCCTATTTAAAGGAATATGGGTTGTAAGATTACATTTTGTGCCCTTAATAAAGTAGGCATAACATGGGGTATTTTGGACAATACATAGTTGTATGACCGAGAGCCTCAAATGATGTCCTTTCTAGGCCACTATGGCAGAAGGTTTGCCTAGGAGGTGCAGGCCGCCTGACTAAGATTTGGGCGGCTCCGATCATCCTCCTAGCCTGGTTGAACAATCCTTGCAGATTTGTCCGCGCGAGGTTAGTACTGGTGGCCCTTTGAGAATACAATAAATTTTCGTCCTCCATTGGGTTATTTTTCTCCTGGCTAGCAGGAGTCGGAAGAGTAAATGAGGACCTTCAAACTATCCTTGTGGGTCTCGAACCACTACTTCATCAGATTTTTTAAAGATTCGTGTTGACACACTTTTTATGTATGCATACACTCAATTTTTATGTATATTCTTATCTAACACCTAAACTTCAATTTATACATACATACATACATTGTATGTATGTATATTTACATATCATTTTACATATGCAACAAATGTGTATTTTACATCTTAAAAGTTAAAATAATGATATTTTTGACATGACGCGAAAAATTTGGGCGGTAGAAATGTAAAGAGTGACGTTTAGGTGTTAGATACGTAAATACATCGGATTTGGGTGCTATATATATGCAAATGCCCCTTAAATTTTGCATTGTATAATGTCAAAGCAAGTCAAGTAAGTTTGAGTTTTATTTATATAAAAAATTGTATCAATTTTCATTTAATCCCCTTAATCCTCAATAATTAAAAAATAGACGGCTGTGTGAGATTAGTTTAAATATGTAAAATAAAAGGTTTGCTTAATCAACCACCCCACCACTTCGTCTTATCTCATTCCTGCCTAACCTTGCCACCCTTTCCCTGATTCTCTTCTATCTTCAAATCTCTTTCCCAATCAGCTAATGGAGAACAAGTAAGCTTTTAGTTTGTTTTTTAATAATGAATGGGTTGAATCCATATAATTTATTTCAAATTCTATGAATCATAAGCCCCACTTGCATGAACACGGTAGAAATTGAACTAAATCAACAACAACAATAATAGTAATAATAATGCATATTTACACTTATTTTACAGCCTTTCATATTATTTACATGGAGCATGGCAGCTGATGTATGGATTTGAGATTAATTAGCATGTCATAAATGCCACAGAACACTTCATATTCTAATAAGAATCCATATCAGACATTATGTTCAACACAAAATATTCAGTTTATTTTTGCAAAAATATCCAACATATTCTATTTTCTTACATATTTGTACATATTCAATATTGATATTTATATACGGCAAATTTTAAGTTTTCATGCTTTTATATGTCATTATCTTATATATTTTAATAACTAGCTGATGTCATTGTTGGAATGGAAAAGCTTTTAGGAAATGACAAAGGCTAAAAAACAACTTATGGAAGAAGCTTCACTCTTATTTAACACCTTAACTTAGCTTGATACAAACTCAAAGACTCCACCCCTATTTATACTAGTGGCACCTCCTAAATTTATGGCTAGGATTGTGCCACCACAATTACAATCCAATGGTTACAAATAGTTTCACACCTACCACACAATAATTCAACACCTACCACACCTACCACACCTACCACACCTACTACACAATAATTTCATACCTACCACATATTCTAGAATAAGCTTATAGAAATTAAGCTTTATTTAAACAACTAAAACAAGTTTATATTTCAACACCCCCTCTTAAACTTGATTTTGTGACTCCAAGCAAACTTCTCATTTTAATAAAGTCTTCAATCTTCAGTGGCTTGGTAAAAATATCTGCAACTTGGTCTTGAGACTTCACGTACTGAACTTGTATCTCTCTTCTTTCGATGCATTCTCTGATGTAGTGATAACGCATATCAATGTGCTTGCTTCTATCGTGGAAAACAGGATTCTTTGCTAGCGCGATTGCAGACTTGTTATCAATACAAATCTTAATCGCCTCTTCTTGTGGTAAACTTATCTCCTTTAATAAGTTTCGAAGCCAAATTGCATGACAAACACATGAGGTTGCAGCCACGTACTCTGCTTCGCAAGTAGAAAGAGTGACAATTGGTTGTTTCTTTGACATCCAAGTGAAAGCAGTGTCTCCTATGAAGAACACGAACCCTGTAGTGCTCTTTATATCATCCATATCTCCAGCCCAATCACTGTCGCTATATCCTACAAGCTTGAAATTGTTGGATGATGAGTAAAATAAGCCAAAATCAATTGTACCTTTGATATAGCGCATAATTCTTTTAGCAGTCTTCAGGTGGGTAACAGTCGGAGTCTCCATGTAGCGACTGACAAGTCCAACAGCATAAAGAATATCAGGTCTTGTGCATGTTAAGTAGCGCAAACTTCCAACCAAACTCTTGAAAAATATTGGATCAATTCTTTTTCCCTCATCAAACTGTGATAGCTTGACTCCACATTCTACAGGAGTTTTTATAGATTGACTATTCTCCATCTTGAATTTCTTCAATATCTCCCTTGCATAACCTTCTTGTGAGATGAAGATCCCATCTTCCATTTGCTTGACTTCAATGCCAAGGTAGAATGCCATGAGCCCAATATCTGTCATTTCGAACTCCTTTGTCATCGCTTCTTTGAACTTTTCAAACATGCTTGGATTGTTTCCTGTGAAGATCAAGTCATCGACATATAAACAAA